GAGACTTCAGACAGAACACGGATCAGTGACAGCGACAGCAGTGTGAAGAGATTATTACTCAATCACAATATGTTATCTCCATCACTTCAGACACTGTCCTCTCATGCACACAAGGAAACATGCACACGTCTTCAGGGACAAACTGCAATCCCACAGGCTGGCCTAATGTAATATAAAACCTATTAGAAAGAAAGAGGTCATATTTCATCTTTTTTTTTTGTTAAATATGACCAAAGAGTTTCAGAATATGGATTTTGGTGGAGCACAAAGTACACCGCACTGATTAAGAAAAAGGAAAATGATTTTCTTTCCGAGAAAAACAAATAAAATTCAGACTCTACACATGAAGTGATATTGCCTTTGTAAGTATGAGGGTGATATTAAAACTTTCCAAACAACTATTATAGATATTCATGCATCTTTCTTTGATGTATAATCACTTACAGTGCCCCTTTTCTTATCGAGCTACCAATATCTTACAACAAACAGATGAGTATTGCTCCGACACATCTTCCTGACTTAAACATTGATATTTGCTGTCATTTTGTCACTCCCAAATATTTTGCCCTTTGACTCTTATCCCTTATTTCTCTTTCAATGTCAGGCAAATCAATTCCTCCTCCATCACATCTCTCATTCTCCTGTCTCTTGCAGGTGACCTCTTCGCCTTCCCCTGGTTCTCAGAGAGATTGATTTATCATGTATCTTAACGTATTGCAGTGCAGGCAAACAGTTCAGCCACACAATGGAGAATCCTGCGAGGCTCCTACCTTAGTCCTATTCTCTATCTCGTGGATGGTAAGCTGCATAGGAATGTTGAAGCTGTGCAGAATATTGCCTCCAAATACCAGGGTGTCCTCTGGAGTGTAGACAGCATGAATCCACCCTTAATTACAAAAAAAGTACAAGACATACACAAAAGAGAAACGGAGGATTCATGCAAATTCACATAGTTGAAGAATATACCGTATAATAGTCAGGTAAAGCCCGGCATTACTGTTCCTCGAAGAGGCAGCTAATCTTTTCCTGCTGGCTACTTTCAAAACAACCATGCCAACACACCAGATGGGATGAAGAACGTGTATCCTTGCTCAAGCTCCACTCTCTGGCATCCATCAGCTCGGTCTCCCAGGAAGAGATCACTCTGCTTGCCTGACAGGACCCAGTCCTCATAAAGGGCAAGGTTATGAGGGGTTGGAGGCACGAGCCAAAACACCTGAGGAGCAGCAGAGATTTTGTTTAATTTAAAACTTATACTGTACAAGCCGATGCCAGGTTAGGTGAAATATCAACTCTGAAACTGTTAAACACTTTATATTACCAGACATACATTTTCTTAGTTTCTTCCCTTAACGTTCAATGAAATTAAACTGTGAAATGAAGATTTGATGCACAAAATAGCAGATAAGAGACTAGAATTAACTTACTTTCTGTCCCTTGAATACGTGGTACCAAACAGAAGTTCCGCCGAAATCGATGTGGAAGTCTGTGTAGCAGCCCTTCACACTCATCAAACAATACCTACAGCAGAAAAAGGAGACAACAACAAAATTCAAAAGAATCCTATTGTTGAGTGCGAGGATGTACACGTACAGAATGACATTCATAAAAAAAGATGTAAAAAGGAAAAACCGAGCTCAACCAATCACATGGCAGAGGTAATCTCAGCTGTGTTTTGCTGAAAACAGCAGCTAAAGCACCACAAGACATCACTTACAGGAGCACTACAGCATAGAAAATTGATCACAATGGGACGGCTCTCTGGAAAATAATTGAGGAATGATTAGCACTCTGAGGCACACAAATGATTCAGAGAATTAGCCAGATGTGAGCAGCTCTGTTTATCTATAAATGCATGAGAGATTATAATGAAACTGCAACTAGGGCTGCAACTCACTATTATTTTTATGAGCAAATAATTAATAATAATAATGTATTAACTGGTAAGAAGATTGTGGAGAAAATGGCCATCACTTTTTCCCAGAGCCCAAAAGCATCTTCAACTCATTTTTAGTAACACGAAACATGTCTGTCTGCACCGACACCAAGCATTGCTTTAGCAGCATGGCAACAGCTTAACTAACCACTACTAGTGACACTGAAATGAAATGTTGCTATTGGCTGAATTAATGAAGGAAAAGACCTGTAAAATATGCTCCTAATTTATTATATTATGTACAACCAAATGCCTTTCACTTGCACTCATCTAACTATGAGCATCATGAAATAAATAAATATATATATATATATAATCAAAATAAATAAATATAAGTCAGCTGAGGGACTCGGAGTGATGGGAGGAAAATAGAGCAACTGGGGTTACAAGACAAGACACAATTGGTTTTGACTATTAGCTGTGTAGAAATGCTTCAAGCTGATTGGCTAAGAGGTGTCTGTGCAGTCAGACTGCAGCTGTTATAAAACCATCCTACACTGTGGAGAACTCTGCTGCCTAGCAACAATCAAGAGCACTTCCATGAGATGGATAACACAGGCTGCATGCAGCGCTCTACAATGAGACACTCGGATGCGAGGAGAAAAATGTTATTATGTATTTACTGACAAAGGAGCAGCAATTCCCCCCCCCCCCAAGTATTTTCTATATGTACACATTCCATTACTTGTAGTCACAGACTTTCATAGATATACAGGTCGGGAGAGATTGCTGCGAAAGTCATACCTTTGCACTTTAGGGTACTTCATGTCTGAGATTACATTGGTGGCTTCTGTTTGGCTATGTTTCAGATCAGGAGGCCACATGTTGTCCACCCAGTCGACTTGATCTACCTAAAAGAGTGAGCGAAACTGCACTGTTAAACCTCAATCACAGTGTTGTTAGTCATACTTTCTTTTAATATGGTACCAGATGTTTTTATGCCATCATACAGAGTTAATTATGTTATATTACCACTGTGGGCCGCTTGATGAGGTTCTCCAGCTTAGTGTGGCTGAACTCTAAGCTGATGACATTGAAGAGTTTGTCCCGCTCTTCCTCTGGTGTCTCATAATAACGGACAAACTGAGCCATGCTCATTTCAGAGCCTTTCTGAGTGCTCACGTCCATAACATCCACAGACCGACGACTCCCTGCAAGCGACAACCACAGCACAAGTTGATGTTGACCTTTGACCCCTTCCACTCTCATTAACATGTTCACCATTTGTCTGTAAACTTGTCAGAGAATAATCTAGCATGCTATTGTGATATTTATACAGAGCAAATGTGTATTGTTGACATTTCACAGATTTCACCATGAACAAGAACCTCCTACTGCGTGTATTTCAGCATCTTCCCCACTAGATGGAGCAACTACACCCCAATCCAGGTTTGACTTCATTCAGCTGTACTTTAATGTGAAAGAAAATTGCAATTTCAAAAATGTTCTGATCAAATATGTTTAGGCATACAAATAGACAGATAGATAAACATGCATGTGTTCACTAATTAAATACTAGCCTAAAAAAAGAGAAAACAGGCAACAAAAAGGAATAATACCATTGAAAAAATAATATATATTGTTCATGTAATTTGAGCATACTGTGACTATGACTTTTTGCCTGATTATTTTTGGCTATACATATTGTTTTAGTGCATATCTCGTCTTCCACTAGGTGCAATATTTTACCAAAAAGCAGCTTTTTGAATGTATAAACATTATTTCACTAAGCAAAAGAGCGGTTCTTCACGATTTCTGAAAAAGATAGGCATTTCAGCTGATACCACAAGTTTTACAGCTATGCCAACCGCACTACAGAATCCATCAGAGCTGGTCTGAACCCGTTTCTTTAACTATTTACCTTCCACAAACTGTGCTCTGGAAGTACATGCTCATGGGACATAGGACACTTCAGATCTTCGCAAATCTAAAAAATAAAACATATTTGCACACGTGTGTGAGTGTGTCTGTGTGCATGTGTCTGCGTGTGTCTGTGTGTGTGTGTGTGTGTGTGTGTGTGTGTGTGTGTGTAGCATCCTACTCACCAACTAAGCCTTTAATTTCACTGACTGTAAATTCTGGATCAGGCATTCTATGAAAGATAGGGGTTGAGGTCACTCAGTAAACATAAACATACAACAAATCTAAAGTGGTTTCAATGAACATCACGCGCACCGTCAATGGTTATTCTTAAGAACTATCTGTAAGCTCGTAAATTCACAGAAATGTTGTCTCACCTGACCCCGAGTCCATCTTTCTCTTTGAAAATGAGTGGGGTCCTGAGAGCCTCCCTTTGCACATATTCATAAGAGAAGTCTAGAAGACATTGATTGTGTTATAGACAAAGACATGTAAAGGAAGACAAATATATACTGTGGTAAAGACATGCATCTTGCTAATCAATTCTATTGCAAAATATAATAAGCCTCTACCATGGCTGATCAAAAGACAAAAATGATATTCTATGTGTTACTTTACCTTTACCCTCCATGAAATGGACAAATGTGGCGCTGTAACTGTCACTGACAAGCTTTTCCTCCACACTGAAACCTCGGATGTTTGCAATTTCTTCAACGTCGGACAAATCCTCGTTTTCGTCGTACATCCTTCGGCAGATGGAGCGCTGCCATTAGAAACGAGATGATTTATTTCACGTTAATTGCGTTAATTGAAACACACAACAGCCCCCCTGTCACCATAAACCATATTTATTTATCACCATATTTATTTTATTACTATAACTTCAAAACTGGAGTAAAGGGTCATATTTTGTTTTTTTTTATGAATTACATTACTATAGTAGCGTTGTATAGTTGTTTATTAAATGTGACGTCAAGCACAATAAACATGAAACGAGACTTGTCCTGAGAAAAGACGACACATGTCAAGTGTTTTGCAGGGTTTCACTGATCTGGTTTAACTGATACGTCCACTGAACTATTACACGTATACAAGAAGTTATAACATGATAAATGCGAGAGCTATGGTTTCTCCCCGTGGCCTCAAACTTGAGCACCTTAAGTGACTTGACAAACATCCCAGCGTTGCAGACGTTAGCTTAGCTACGTTAATTAGCTCGCTGCCAATATCGCTTCATAAGCTATCGTTAACGGATGGTACACACCAGCCTGCGTCCGGATTCAGCACACGTTTCCACGGCCTGAGCCATCGTCTCTTATCAATGTCTTCCAGCCACTCGCTTTCGGAAATGCACCTTCATGCGTAGTGGAGTTAGAGAAACACTCAGCACGCGTTTCAGGTTCAAAACAAGGGAACCATGTTTTTGTGTATTACGTCACCGCCAGGAACCAAAACATTGTTGGACAACGTCACGGCATGTTAGTTCACTGCTTTTCAACTGGTTTGTACAAAGACGAAACATTTATCATAACATATCAATCACTGTTGTTAATGGTGGAAAGCAAAAAAAGCGTTACGTTTAATCCACTATTATCGAACAGTTTAGCCTATCATGCTAATGAAAATAGAGCGATACAATAGCTTGTGTTTATAAAGAAACATATCTGTAGATATCTTTCATTCATTATAATAGTAATACTTCGTATTTATCTATGCTGGGCGTTACGTGTGTCACGTGGACTGGTGTGACAGTCCGTTCAACCGGTCAAATTCACAATAACATATTTTGACAATCGCAACACATTGAATGTGGTAATCGCATCAGCGTTAACGAAGGGGCTGATTCGTAATCTCATGACAGAGGAAATGCAGCCCACAGATGACTCTGGAGCGGATGTTCGCCTCGGAGCGCGCGGGCTCATGGGTAATGTGGTGCAGGCGGCACAACACGCCGAAGACCGGGTGGCGAAAGAAATATAGCTTCCGCAGTTCCGTCAGCTAGCGAGTCTAAATGACTTGTGAGTGTACACTGTTGGCATGCTGAGCGCTTGTTCGTGTCGTGTTCCACTCGAGTAACAAGGTAACTACGTCAGCGCTGCTCGCCCCGGTCCTTTGATAACATGAGCCTGAACGAGCATTCACTGCAGGCACTGTCCTGGAGGAAGCTGTACCTGAGTCGAGCTAAACTGAAGGCATCTAGTCGGACATCGGCTCTGCTTTCCGGATTTGCTATGGTAACATTGTCTTCAAAGCCATCCTCTTACTCTGCTGTGGATTAATCAGTCATGTTGGATAGTGTGGTCACATGTGTAAAGTTATTTCCTGTTCTCTCCAGGTGGCCATGGTGGAAGTGCAGCTGGACAACAGCTATCCTTACCCGCCTGCTCTCCTGATTGCCTTCAGTGCCTGCACCACTGTGCTCGTGGCCGTCCACCTGTTCGCTCTGATGGTCAGCACCTGCATTTTGCCCAACATAGAGGCTGTCAGCAATGTCCACAACCTCAACTGCGTGAATGAGTCTCCACACGAGCGAATGCACCGACACATTGAACTAGCGTGGGCTTTTTCTACAGTTATTGGTACTTTGCTCTTCCTAGCCGAAGTGGTTCTACTCTGCTGGGTCAAATTTCTGCCCGTCAAGCCCAAGTCCAGTAATAGTACAATTTCAGCTGGTGTGGCTGCTGCTATTACTTCCACCTCAATTATGGTCCCCTTTGGTTTAGTCTTTATAGTCTTCGCTGTGCATTTCTACCGCTCCTTGGTCAGCCACAAGACTGACAGACAGTTTCAAGAGCTGGAGGAGCTCTCTAATCTCACCAGGCTGCAAAACGAGCTGGACAACAGAGGGGACTCTTCCATCTTGCAGTCTCCAAGCTCACATTTCCCATAGTGAAGTGTGGTGGATATGCATCCATGATGGAACTCTGACTGCTTGGGTTTTCTCCAAGCCAGAAGCCGTTATTGGCTTGTCATTTTTTATTTTTTTTTTTTTACAACCTCTTTGTTGTGAAATTTAATTTTGTGTAAAGAGTTGTATTTTTTAGAAAACGTGTTTGATCGACTAAACTCACAAATCTGCCATCAATGCATGGCTCAAAATTTGGAAAGTCTTATTTGCAATAGTTGCTTGATTTATCTATTTTATAATGGCAGAGATATCTGAATAACAACTTGAGATCCTGTCTGTTGCCTGCTGGATTTATTTACCCGTTTGTCAGTGATCACAGCATTTGTTAATATAACCAAATTGCCACAAGTATTTAACTATTTCGTCCTTGTTCATAGTGTACATGATTTCTTGTACTGTCCACTCATTGTTTTTGTAATACTTGCTTTGTGTAGACGGATTCAACAGCTGCTAAAACTGCAGTATTATTTATATAGTGTATTTGTTGACATCTGTAGCACGGACTGTTGAAATAAACACCTTTGTACCAAGTGGCATTCAAAGTTTTAGAATTTCACAAATAACTTGGATGTACTATTTGAAATCATTTGATCTATTATGTTATCGATGTAATTTACTTGTTATTATTGACACATGCTAAAGTAAGTCATACATAGAAAAGTGTAAAGATTCATAAAGATACATAACAGTTTATCACCCTGAGGCTGGATTGATTCATTTTGAGCACCACTTTCCTCACATATCCTGAGTTAGCTTGTTGTTTTCAGCATGCTCAATAATTTATAAAACTGATCAATCTGAGTTAACAGTCTGTATACATTAATGGCTAATACTTGATCAGCCCTTACAAGACAAATTAATTGGATATGTCATTTGGATTTTCCACGTATACTAGTATTGAATTTAATCCTCTGTGTTGGTAGTATTGATTAATATGTTTAATTATATCACTATTGTTTTCAACTCATTGAATAAATGGTTTTGGTTTGCCCTACAAACAAGAACAAACTATTTGGTTGTAAATATTTTGACAAAACTGGAGCTGAATACCATCATGCCGTTTATTTTCTTTTTTTATTCTTTCCCTGTGAGTGTGTCATGGAGTGGAAACTTGCTGTTGATCCTCTCAAGGTAGGCTATCTTGGCTTCACTTAAAACCAACTGCATGTCCACCAGTTGTAGCTTGAAAAAAAAAAGAAGATATGTTCATATTTGAATCCACCATAATGCATTGTACAGTGCTTTGTCAAATCAAAGGATTATTTGATTGTGCCACATAAGTGGTTACAGGCCGCTGCCAAAGTATCCGCAGTGAAAATGTACCTGAGGAATCGGATACTGTGTCGGTGCCGGTGCTTCATTCCTCCTAAAATCAGACAGGGTCCCACACTTTGCCACTCCATCCAACCAAAGGCCTTCATAAATCTGGCCTTTGTCAGAATAGTAGAACTTTCCATTACCGTTCTTCTTGCCATCCCGCCAGGTGCCTTCAAACCAATTTCCATTTGCTTGGACACAAGTTGGAAAGTCACATTTTAAAACCCACCATCTAGCCTTACTAAACTATAATCTATTTTAGAGTTTTAAAAAATGTAAAGTGGTCTTACCAAATAGGATGGTGCCCTGTCCATGATTCTTATCCTTCATCCACTCTCCCTCATAGATATCTCCACTCTCATACCACATCTTTCCCCAGCCACTTCGATGGCCCTCGCTCCACTCCCCCTCATAAACAGCTGAGCCTTTGTAGAAGTGCATCCCGTACCCCTAAGGTATGACATAGAAGATTATGCACAATATATCACAGAGTGTACGTAGATGTGTTACAGTGTGCATGTATAACAGCATATCAAATACATACATGCTTCTTTCCATTTTTCCATCCACCACAGTACTTCGTTGTATTCTCTTTTGTTTCTGGAAGCAGCACACTGAGGGTACCATATCCATAGGGTTTCCCAAATGTCCATTCTCCAATATACATGGTCCCAGACTTCTTCGAAATCTGAGTTCCCTTCCCTTGAAAAAAATAATTAGCAAACATTATGACACGCTTATAAATACGTGTTTACAAATGTATATGTAACTCAGTGGAAGCTCACATGAAAAAGTATCTCACCATGCTTCTTGTTGTTCAGCCACTCTCCTTTGTATTCATCTCCATTGCCTGAGAAAACTGTGCACCGCAGTCCACATTTCTGTGACTTTGCATCCAACAATGTTGACGGTGGCTGATTTGTTGGACATCTTTTAAGGAATGGCATGACTGGGAGTAGCTTGACAAAAAAAATACCGATAACATAAATAATATGTCATGTGGAGGAAATGTGAGCACATAAGAGGAAAGTTTCACTAAAAACAAAATAGTTATAAGACAAAAACAGCACATAGCTTTAACTATTCTATTATTACAGCCTATGGTATACATTAACATGTGTACATATCGTGAGAGCATGCCTATTTATTGAATTCATAAAGACAGTACTGATTTAAAACAAAAATTAGGATGTTATGCACATGAACTGACATTTAGGATAAAGGACAACGAAAGTTGTTAACGTTAGTATGTTAGTTAACGCTACTATACGGTGTAACTTAACCTAACACTGGCAAAATTAGGACATCAAACACTAATTTAAAGCAAAGTACTCGTACCTTAGCAATGTGTCCAAGCAGATGACTTAATGAAACTGAATCCACTTGTAAACGCAGGACACTTAAGACAAAGTGGTTAACGTTTATAGCTGGTGTCGCAACCTAGAGGGGTCTAAACATTGGCTGTATCCTGGCAACAGAAGTGTGTACGGTAACTTTGGTTGCTAAAAAGTCTACAAATTTTGTATTTTTTGTATCTAAAAAAAAAAATTGTATTTAGAGTCTACAGGCTCAACGTTTGTCCGGACAGTGGTTATATTATATATTATCATATTATTATAGAGGCACTCTGATCCGCCCTACTCGGCCTCTGATTGGCTCATCCTGATATTCTGATATCAACCCAACCAATCACGGCAAAGGAGCAGCAAGCCAATCAGAGGCCAAGTAGTTACGGCATGCGCATGCTCTTTACGGCCCATTTAAAAAAAAAAAAAGCTTACGAGTTGACAGTCAGCCCTGGTGGTGGGGAGAGAGTGAAATCTTGTGAAGCTGCTCTCCTCTCGCATCAGCTACTGGACCACAATGTCCAAACCGAAGTTTCAGACGGAGTGGGAGGAAATAGACGAGGAATATCAACAATTACAGGTGACAGATGACTTTACAACGAGAGCCCCGTCGATTGCTGGCTGTAGCATGTATCTTGTATTGCGGCTAACGAGCAGCTAACGCTACAGTAACTTAGCTAACAACAGAGCGTGGTATTGCTCGATTGATCAATGTTGACGTTACGTGATTGATACCAAAGTTGCACAGAGGGTTTTTAAAGGCAACTTCCCGCTGTTGCTCGAGTTAATAAAGTCTTAGACATCGAATGCATCGTCGTTCACCATTACCATGCTATAGCAGGCTAGCTAACTTGAATAATGTAAGAAGAAGTCGATAAAAGGAAAGAATACAGTTCACTTTGAGGTGTAGTATAGCATCATGTCGTCTGTGGTGTTGCTCTCTGCTCATCAGACTACTGAGACGTAGGCCTGTTGTGCCATCATTTAAAATCTGGAGCTGATCCGTAGGGAGAGATGATGAAAGTGACTGTCAACTGTTCGGGGATGTTCTTAAATTACACATTCTGGTGAAGAACTCGTGTGAAATATCTCACCTGCACTGACAGTCTCCCATTCATTGTCGGTTGCTTCCTTTCTGATTGCTGGTTTTGTACATGCGTGCATCGATCCTACATCTAAGGTTTGAAGAGACTTACAGACTGTTGATTGTGGTAAACGTTAAATGGCCATGTACGTGTTAAAATTGTGGGTATAACAGAACTGCCATGTGACATATGTGGTTGCATAGAAAACAGTTTCTAGTGCGATCAGCTGCCAGTTTGCTTTTTTTATTTTAACATTTCTTTTGGTGGTTTGCATCAGTCAAAGGAAATTTACTGTCAAAGATGGTGTATGTTATGTACATTTGAACATCAATGACAGGTCTCACAGGACCACAGTATCATCTCTGCTGACGATGCGTCCTCACCTCCACACACTCGGTGTCATAAACCAGTGCTGATGGGGGGGAAAGCTATGTTCTACGTACCGAAATATGCATTTTACAGCATCATGGGCTGTTTCTGTTCTGAGTCAAGCAAGACTTCACAGGCTGAAGCATTTCTATCTCTGCTGAATAGAGACTCTGTTCAAGCTCTTCCGTGTTGTCCATTGACGTGGCAAAGATTTGTGCGAGATGAAGCATTTCGGTCTTTCTAAGAAGTCTTTTCAATATGACATTCAATGTACGTTAATCGCCCATCAGCACTTCTTTGTGATACATTTGTGAGTGCGGAAAGGCACATTTGTCCATCTTATCGCCTGTTACTTTTTAGTCGTTCCAGATTCCCTCCGCTCACCTCGTGTGTTTGTTTGTCGACTAGGAAACTCACAAAATCTACAGACAGAAGCTCGAAGAGCTCACCAACCTTCAGACAACATGCAGCGGTGCCATCAGTAAACAGAGGAAATGCCTGAAAGACTTGAGGTGCAGCCTGTCCAAGTAAGTGTTCTTTGATCGGGACCGAAAACTGCATTCAACAGATCACTTACTCACACCACAGTCGGTATACTGCATCATTGGTTTGGGGCTTATCAAATGTTTAGAAGATAAACAATTTCCTTGTAATTTTTTTTAAATGGCAAAACAATAATTATTCCACTGCTCATGTTGTCTTTTCTCCGTAGGGGTTCACAAATATGTGACGAGAAAGAATTGGAACTAATAACGGATATCAGATTACAAATTAAAGAAAAAGAAAACGTGTTTTTTGATATGGAAGCATACTTGCCAAAGAGAAACGGGTCAGTACTTTTGCTTGTCGGCAATTCACTCAACATTAGACGGTGAATATTATCGGTGAATAGTTGTTGTTTTTTTGTGTGTGTTTTCAGGCTGTACCTGAATTTGGTCCTCGGTGAATATTATCGGTGAATAGTTGTTGTTTTTTTGTGTGTGTTTTCAGGCTGTACCTGAATTTGGTCCTCGGCAACGTGAACGTAACGCTTCTCAGCAACCAGGCAAAGTATGTAAAGTATTCAGCCTTCAGGACGGTGTGAACAACCACGGTTTAGACTTTGGATTTGTGTTTGTTCCATCTTCATTTTGACCTCAATCTATTCACATAGGTTTGCCTACAAAGACGAGTATGAGAAGTTCAAGCTTTATATGACGATAATCCTGATGTTCGGAGCAATAACCTGCCTCTTCTTGCTCAACTATCGGTGAGAAAACCTTTTCCCCTCGATCACTACTGCTGATTACTTACTTATTAAAATCTAATGAGTGTCTCGCTATTTCATTTTAGAGTCACTGATGAAATCTTCAACTTTTTGCTGGTGTGGTACTACTGCACACTGACCATAAGGGAAAGCATCCTCATGAGCAACGGCTCCAGGTACGTTGTGCCGTCGATCCAGAGGCTGTGAAGTAAAACCACCAGAGCGCACTTGTTCAGAGTTATGATTTCTTTATGATTGGAGGAATTTTTTTAATAACCGGGTCTTCTTCTTCTCCTTTTTTATGCTTTCTAGGATCAAAGGTTGGTGGGTGTCTCACCATTACGTGTCCACCTTTCTGTCGGGTGTGATGCTCACCTGGTGAGTTTCTGTCTTTGATTTCTCAGTGCGACGTTGTTTTCAGCCTTCATATCAACACGTACAGGTAAAGACGATACAGGCCACAGTTCCTTTATTTTGTTTTTGTTTACCCTTGTGTCGTGTCCTAGGCCAGAGGGGCCCATGTACCAGAGGTTCAGAAGCCAGTTCCTCGCCTTCTCCATCTATCAGAGTAAGAAGTGAATCTGTTTGTATGCCGTGAAGGCTCTCCGGGTCATGTTGTTTGGGTCATAACCAGAAACATTTATGTGGAGGTTAGGGTTTGCGTTTGATGTACTTTAGTCGTATCTGCATTGAATCCTCATTGAATCTATTTATTAAGTGTGTTTGGTGGAATCATTTTATTTGCTTACCAAACATAAGGTGGTTAATTCTCAAAAAGCAGCAGTCGGTTCTTCCTTTGGTGTGATGTGCGGTTGTATAAAAAGGGAACATGTAGTCCCTCCTTTTGTTGTCTCATGACCAACATTGCATTTCACGGGATCCTTGTTGACTTTGGTCAAGTGTAGCCACACTTTGGGACATTTGAGGCCATGTGCTGTCAGTCAGTATTACATCATCGGTGACAGCTGGGGGAGATAAAGGACAACTACTGTTACATATGCATCTTTGTGTTTTTCTCTTCCCCCTAATGAATACCCAAATGTAGGGCTGCAAGTAATGATTCTTTTTTCAGCATTGATTAATCTGCCAATTATTTTCTTGCTTGATTAGTAAATAGTTGTCAGCAAATGGTGTAAGTTCAAAGTGTCTCGAACGTTTTGTATGTTGCTCTTCGCTATTGAATAACAAAGAGGAGGTAAGAAAATGCTGAACTTGCGTTCATGTTTCGAGTCTGGATTTTTACGCTACAACGTAACAGACGACAGCGCCCCAATCTAAATAGAACATCTTCTAACAATTTACTGTTTGTGCAAGAGTTCAAAACGCCACTCGGACTGTGTTCTCCCCTCAGATGCTGTCGTTCTGTCACACCTCGGTACGACAGTGGACCAAAAGCCAGAGCAGCTCTAGGACCACCTGCAACACTGTTTGTTCAGCTACAGTGAACCGTCAGGGAAGCTTATAGTTGCTCGACATCTCAACATATTTAGAGGAAGTAAACACGACTTTCCTCAAGCGGACTCAATTTCAGTGGATTAATTGGCATCTAGATGTGTTCAGATCTAATTAGATAAAGACATGAACCCTTCTGTGTCGCACAGACGTCAGACTGTAGATTACTTCCTCGCTCGCCTGCTGAGAGTCGTTGCCTTTTATAAAAGGCTGCAACAGTTCTTCCCACCAGAAAACAGAAGTCGTGTTGCTCACACTGGTGGTTACGGTCCTTATCTAGTACATCACATGAAGACTCGTGTATGACTGGGTAAGCGATGTGATGCAGCTCTGTAGTTGGAGTTTTGGGTGAGAAGTAAATGTCAAACAGACGGATGTTCATTCGAAAAAAGCTTCAGCCTAAACTGAGACAATGTGACTCTTTTTGTTTTGTCTTGAGAACATAATGATCCAATATTGGTGGTCAGAGCTTCACATTACAAGCTGCTGTTTACGTTTTTATTAGTTTAAAGTATCATCTGATGAGCTGATGCTAGTCCTGTAAAGCAGTTTTCCTCTCCAGCACTGAGATATGAGTCTGAAACTTATTGATCTGTTCATCACCTCACAGTGTTGTCTGTGTGGTCATCTTGTCATATTTGCAACCCGTTTGTCCTCCAGGCTTCGTTCAGTTCCTCCAGTATTACTACCAGAGCGGCTGCTTATACCGGCTGCGGACTTTGGGGGAGAGAAATCAGCTGGACCTCACAGTGGGTGAGTTGTACGCTATTTTTGGCGGTAGTCATTTTGAGCGTTTGAACTCTTGAGCCATCTGCAACACCATGTCTGGAAAAATAGGGTAAAGGTCAGAGACGGAGACTGTTGTTAACAAGCAGACGTTTGAGTGCTTCAGTGAATTTTGCTTCCACAACCATCTCTAATTGACAACTTTGTACCGACATGGCCTCCATTTATTTAGTATTCTGTGTCACGTTGTCCCGAGGTCGCTGTTACACTCTTGTGTCTCTGCAGAGGGATTTCAGTCCTGGATGTGGAGAGGCCTCACTTTCCTTTTGCCATTCCTCTTTTTTGGCCATGTAAGTCGAAACCTTTTACAACTTTACGATCCATGTTACACCTGCATGCATTGTTTAGTGTTCAATCTGCATTAAACGCATGTGTTCAAAGCGAAAGTTGCTTGTGCCACCGGATCACACGGCAACACTGTGAAAGATAATGCCTCCTCTTCCTGCACAGTTTTGGCAGCTCTACAACTCGGTGACCCTGTTTCGCCTGGGAGGACTTGAGGACTGTAAGGAGTGGCAAGTAAGGATCCCACTGGCAGATACATTGCAAAAATGTAAAAGAGTTATGTCGAGACAGAATTATATTGTTTGGTGAAAAGGAAAAAGCTTGACGGGCTTCTTTTTTTACATAATTATTACATTTCGCCTTTTCTATTTCTAAGCAGTGTCGTCACATACACATGTCAGGCCATATTCAGAGTTGGTGATATGAGTTTAAATCAAAATATGTGCAGGGAAAGTTTGTCTGCATCAGGCTGGTGCAGCACACATATTTAACTCTATTTCTTTATTGAAATGACCTGTGACGAAGCCCGTTAAAGTCAGTTTTTTTTTCTTCCAGGTATTTATGCTGGCACTGACATTTCTCGTCCTGTTCCTGGGGAATTCTCTCACCACTTTAAAAGTCGTCCACCAAAAGCTTCAGAAAAACCAGGAAAAAATGCAAAAAAATGACTGAGACAAAAAAAAACAACCCCTCCTCAGATCCTTCCAGACGGCCAGTAATATTTGAAGCAACGCGCCCGCAGTACGATCAGGCCGGGAGAAGACAAAGCTGAAACCACTCTTTCTCTCAGGCTTTGATGGCAGCAGCAGCATCCAGCCTAAGTATCTGGCCCCCCACCCCCCACACGGGCTTCTGCTTTCTAATGACTCTGCATTGGTGTTGCTGCACAGTAAGTCACAACACAAAGTGGTGTTCACCTGGTAGACGGAACGGTTTGTCGATTTATCCTGTACATAAAAAGTGAGCAGGAAGAGTGTGTTTGTGTCTGCGCATGAGTCCGTCAGAGGGCCTTTTTCTTCAAATCATATGCAACCGAAAGAGGGCCGGTAGCGTCGATCAACGGAACAGAATATAGTTTGCCTTTTGAAGACCTAACGTCTGTCATGTACTTCAAACCTGTCCATGTACCGTCTCTGGCTTTGGACACGATCAACTTGGCACGTCGTTTCTAGAATGATGTTATGTGTAGTTGTGAACTCCCTGTCGTGCTATTTCACTGCTAACAAGTGTTTTTTTTACAAGACTTGTAGGTCGACAACTTCAAAAATAACAACTTGATACTTGACTGCCTTTCAATTTCAAAAACAAATCTTCTGGTGTCTTTTTTTTGGTTCCTCAAAAGAGTAAGGACTTCAAGGGAATGCAACACTTTCTCCCTTCTGGCAGCGGTTGCAAAAGCCATAACTTTATTATTTATTTTTTTACAATCTTAATGCCTAAACTGGGTTACCTGAACACAGACATAAACACGTATACTGTCTCTACAAAAAACAACAGTTGTTTCCTGTGAGGATTCAGGAGGTTTTCATGGGACCTCCTCACTAACACTTCTATGTTCTCATTAACTTAATGCTAACTAACTGTAATGTCTGTTTATCTGTTTCACTAATGGTCTAACTCTTCAAGTTTATCACAAAGCCATGCACAGAGGTTTCTCATTACTGTGCTGAAACGAAGAACATGCTGGTAGTTCCCATCTTGTTACGTGATGTTGCAGAAAAGTATCAAATACTGCTGTTAGTGCTGGTACTGTGAGACCGAGACACAGACTGATTGAAACTGTGCTCGGTTATTGTTTTTTCCAATCAACGTACGAAATAAAATATCTGTATGAATTAACTTCTGGCCAATCCTGGAGCTTTTGCCCTAGTTGACTGTAGTGTCATCTGCTTCCTGTCTCATGCTTGTTTGAAAGTAGAGTTTTTTTTGGGGGTTTTTTTGTGAGTTTGTCAGCAGTGTTGGATCTCTAATGCCTTATTCTCCCTCCAGCCTGTCACAGCAAAAAAATGATTTTTTTTTTTTTTTTTTTTTTTGAAAAATCCAAAGACTGTAGCGCTTCTTTGTCACTTACCAGAAAGTCATCCTGCTGAAGAGAATCACAATATTTCATGTGTCACTTTTATTGAGGGAAAATGGCGACACGTTGAGTTACAGACCTAAATGTTACATTTGATGCGAAAGCTGCCAGAACGCACAAAACAACTTGATTTCCTCATTTTTACGATGTAGCTGATGAACAATGTTTTCATCGTTCATTTCTAGACTGTAACTGGTGCCTGAGTATGATCAGTAACAAAGGCGGTGGACAATTTCTCAATCTGTGTATATTGTTGTAAAAAAAAATATATATATATATTAATAATTAAACACCTAATTACATGTTTTGCCATTTCTGTGGTTATTATGCAATGGGACAGAAAGAACATGTATTTATTTACATTTCACTGTGTGGGGAAATATCTAAACACACATTTCGTTTTCCTGACACTAGTGGGCGCTGTTGGTGAAGAAAAGAGCCCTGCTTCACGTCGACACAGCCACAAGACAGATTGGTGTTCAGTTTCACTGGAAATGAACTAATCCTGTTGGCTGTTGATCAAGGTTTTCTTTCTCAAGACTGTTAAAGCTACAGTACCATGATGTATTTGAACTATTCTGTCTGGGAATCTGTTATCTACTTGGAGCTTTTAAACCAGATCCAGACATTTTAAATTGACAATTCCATTAATCTAAATCTGAGTTGACAATACAAGAACTAACTTCCTCTAATAGATGTACATTTCAATAAAACACAGGTTTGGAAACAGTACAACAGTACAAAAAATGTCATACAAAAATACATTGGAATGCTTTTCAAGTTGAATATACAAACCTGCTGCTTCTTGCAAGGACTGATGATGCAGTGAGGCCCAAAACATACGAGGACTAGTCTGAGCTTTCTGAACCAGTGCTCATTCAGCTGTTTCCACACTGAGACGCAGAGCATCTTTGGTCTCTGAATGTCTAACCGCTCGCAATGTGAATGAATGGTTTTCCACAAATAAACAAAAAAGCCAGTAGAGTCCTTAAGAATCAGTTCTTCTGACTTCACAAAACTACACATTGCTTCTTCCTCTTGCAGTTCTTTCGTTTTCGATTAAAGGCCAAAGTCCTTTTGGTTGCCTCCCTGAAAACGTCCTCCACGTTCTCCTCATACTTCGCCGAACACTCGAGGTAGAGCTCTGCGTTCATCTGCTGCCGGGTCTCCTCACCCTACAACCCAAAGCCAGCCAACATTAACACCAAGGATTAGTCTTTGTAAGCTGATTAATGTACTTTTGGAAGACGTGTCTCGTTGCACTGAAGCTGTAGTATTTAGGTGTGGTTGTAGGTTCTGGTTAGCTCGCTTCCTCTTGCACATTGTAGTTAACATCCTGTAACCTCGAGCATAAGGCCTGTTTATATAGATCACAAAATGTCTGAACACTCCTTACCGTACCTGTGTGTAAGTGACGGGAGCCTGGTTCATGGGCTTGAGCTTCCTGGCACACTCTTTATCCTTCCTGAGGTCTGTCTTGCAGCCAATCAGGATGACCGGAGTGTCCGGACAGAAGTGCTTCACCTCTGGGTGCCACTGGGTGTACAAAATAAGACTTTAAGGATCTGAGGCGTTGTATGTCTGCTCTTTTTAACATCACACTTTGTGCACCAGGGTGACACTCTTTAACAGCATTCAGAGAAGACAACATCCCAGCACAATATTGATTCCTAACTGCATGCACAGGGGGTCAATGTCCACATGCAGGCTCAGTCGCATGAGTTAATCATAACAAGAATGCAGCCAACAGACTAACAATCATTAACACACACACAGGTTTAACAGGAAACCTGAAACTGTATCTTGGCCCGTTGATAATGCACGATAAGAAATGATCACCTTTATCAGGACATTCTCATGGCTGGTGGGGTTGGTCACATCAAAGCAAACTAAAACCAGATCGGCTTCTTGGTATGAAAGCGGCCGTAATCTGTCATAGTCTTCCTGACCTGAAAGAAAGAAGGTCAAACAACACCACTGTTAGCTGATATGTGTAACAGCGTAACAGTGTAAGTAACAATTCATGTACACTAAACAAGAAGTGGTCTGCAGCCTGAACACAAAGATATGAAGTATGTTATGACGTTAGGGCACATGTACAAAACCACATCCTGGATTCAGCTTCCTTTGACGCTGATGTAACGCACCCTGCTGCAACTTTGCCAAAGATAAGTCTGTCATGGGTTGTCCTGGAAATTAAACGACTTTAAAAACTGCTCCGTTCTGATAGGAACTTCACGTTTATTGCCCCACAGAAATACAGCAGTTAGGAGTAAAGCTGGCTATATTTAAAATCAATACCTGAAGTTAGGTACGACTGGTACAGTTTTCAATACATAAACACCAAATATAAACACAATTTTATTCAAACACCCTGAGTGTTGTTTTTTGTCTTTTTATAGTAAACTATTAGCGATAATATATAGTACAATAAATATTAGTCTGACTCTATTATTGGTTGTTGCTAAATAAAAATACAATTTAAAACCTGTTAAATTCAACATTAAATCAGGAGGAATAAGAGGATTTCACTTGATGTGGGTTTCTGTCTTGTTTGGGGGGTAAAAAAAACACTCACTGAATTTGCCTCTGAAGCTGATTCCAGAATATTAGTAGTTACTATTAAATGCAAACAGCTGGTCAGTTCCTGAGAGACGATGCTCTGACATAAACATGGACCATTACCACTTCCTGGTGTCTGTCAGGTTAAGCAAATCAAGATAAAGACACACAGTGGGAGGATGTCTGAACTTATATATTTTTAAACATATAAAACTGACGGCAATCTGTGTGAATATACAGGTATGTTTTGTTTATCTGGACTGTTTCTATACTGTACTCTCCTTATAATGTGAAATGTAAAAACAGTCAAAGAAATAATAATCAACCATGGTCAACATTGAGGTGATTTTTGATGGTCTTACCAGCTGTGTCATACAGGTTGAGCTTTATCTCTTTTCTTCCGAGAGAGATAGTGGTGACGTATTTTTCGAACACTGAAGGTGCATATTTCTGTTTTTGATACACAAGAGAAAGATGTTCATGATACAACCACACTGTATATTTTATATTCTTCTATATTTCTGCCCATTTATAAAATCTCAAGTTCAAATTTCAACATTATTAGACTTTCGATAAATAATAAGACAAATATATGTTAAATTCATATTTAATATCAAGACATGAAGTACATTATATAATCTTGCTTACCTCAGGAAAATCACCTTTGGCATAAACCAACAGAAGAGATGTCTTCCCACAGCCTCCATCTCCCACTATCACAATTTTAAGTTCGTCTCCCCTTTTCGTGGTACCATTAGCAGTCATTTCGCTTCCAAACAATCAAACAGGTGCCAGACAGGTCAGGACTGAAGATACTCCCTCCAGATGTAAGTTAAATCCATAGCAAAGCTTAATGACTCTATTTTTGGAAAGGCTGAGATGATGTACAGGCAGTGTCAAGAGAGAGGAACAGAAAAACCTCATGTTTTACCGGGTAGCTCGCTCTGTTCACCACTTCCTGTTCCTGTCACATTGAAGCTGTTTCCAATTGACCCCCTACACACTTTTCCTGTCCTATTGTCAGTCTGCTCACTGAAAGCATCGCTGGGTTAGAATAAGTGAGTTGCACATGTGCAGCAGTTGAGTCTGGCTGGTCCACTTCCTCTATCGAATGTGCATGCCTATTTCATTTTCTGGGTGGGCACGCAAGCTGAAGCACTGCCTCCATCAACAGAGGAGTGTGTGTGTGTGTGTGTGTCTGTGTGCATGTGTGAGAGTGTGTGTGTGTGAGAGAGAGAGATAACACTGAAAATATTCACCTCTAATGCTGAAGTTAAGTCAGCAGGTTTTTGTAAACGCTGACAGATTTCTAGATTTGTATCTGCGAGGTCATGCTCTGATGACAGTGAATGCGCTGGGTGTGTCGCTTGTACCTCCATCAGAGCTCTTTACTCCTGAGAACTTGCTTTCTCAGAAACATACACCGCTAAATGGCCAAACCCCTCTTCTTCTTTTTCAATGAAGCACAAAATATAAAGTAATAAACCAGCTGCCTCACTTCTAATTCTTCAAATGTATGCATTTTATTTGGGGGTTGCCCACCCTTTTCATTCCCATGCGTGGTTGTTTGAATCAATATGGAATAATGCTTCAATGGTAATCCATTAAATATCAGTCTAATATACATCTATATGCAGAATATAATCATGCAATTGGTAGATATGTTTATTCCTGTGTTTTCCTTTTAATGCAATTATTTTGAATCCCCAGAGGTATTTCACGAGCAATGTGTCAGTCATACTTATCTGTTCAGTCTGTATGGCTGAACACAGCCGTGACATCACAGATTGGGGCGGCAGGATAAACTATTCTCTCTCTCATCCCAGGGTGCAATGTACGGACATCTTTATCCGGCATTAAACTAAATAAATGAGCAAAAAAAAAGTGATTTGGAGACGACATTCTGAGGTACAGTAGGTTACCTTAGTATAAGGTGAAAACATGTATGTGCTGCTATTGACCGGGAGGCTGTGGGTGTGCGAGGCAGACGCGCTGCTTTAAGGCATGAAGAATAACTTATCAGTGAGTTATGATCAAAAGCAACTGGACATGTTCAGTTACTACCGGATATCAAATAAAGTGGATGATTTGAGAATGCTCTTGTACATTACAGTATGTGCAATAGAATGATATTTTTTACATTAGGAACATGTCTCAGCCAAGTCGATGATGGCTATAATTACATAAATCAGTAACAGTGGGTGCCAGGAAAGATTAGTTCATAGAGAATGAGCCAAGAGAAACATTTTGTATTTGAGATTACACTTGGTTCAGTATCTGGTCTGGAACATTTTCTCTCCCATAAAGGCAGTGAAACTCTTATTGAGGTAAGTTACAAAGGAACATTTAAAGGTTAGATTTCAGTGGTCTCGGGTGGGAAAATATGCAGTTAGTGGGTTGGAGGGGGAAAATTTGAGCAAGCTGTCCCTTTAAGAGGATGAACTGACACTGCTTTTTCCTTTGCCTATATTTAAGAAAACATGCAATCTTTCAAGTATTTTGCCAGAATACACACACATTTACTGCAATAACTAAAAGGGAGTTTCACCTATCAAATTGCTTCAGCTATGTCACCATGCAGCCTGAATTGAGTTCACTGTGTAATTTAGTGTCGTATCATGATAGGCTAAAATAGTGTTTTAAAGATGGGCCTAAAATCATTAAAAAGGTAGATATTACAACTAATGTCAATCAAAAAAGAAAAGCAACCTGCTTCAATTCCCAAAACAATAAAACATAAGAATGAGGGTATAAATCTATTTATTTAAACATTTCAGGAACACAGACAGGTGAAAATATTGCCAAGTAAGAGACTACATCACAAGCCTTACTGTGGAATAGTACACTAATGATACACTAGATATGCAAATATTTAAGACCTAGAAAGAAGAAAAGACAATATTTTGAATAGAATAAATACAGGAGCCTACCACCAATGAAAAAACATTGAATAAGCGAGTGTACCTATAGATAAAAATAAAAACATTAAAAAACACAAAGTACGTAGGATACCTGATTTGATTCAGCGAACAATCCGTCAAAATAAAAGGCTGAGAAAACATGGGAAGAGAAACAAAGGGCAGAGCAGTTTGCCTGACTGCCTGCCCGTACTCATGTGCCCCAATAGGTTCTACAAAACGGTACGGTGTAGTACAAGCTATGAAAAATACCAGCATAATTGTACAAAAAGTGCTTGTTTGACTTACAAGGTGAAACTGGTAGCCTAACAAATGAATAACATTGCATATAAAAAAAAAGGATATTAAATTGTCCTGAAGATGTAGTCTACAAAATATCCATACGTATAGAGCCCCCTTTCATCAATTAATAAACAAAGAACATTTGTCAAAAAATGTTTTTTTTCGTCGTGCAGAGAGACAGCTGTCCCGCAGAAGAGAGGCCAATCCTCTGTGTGGAATATTCCAGTCTGTCAGCGGCGCGCAAAGCTGAATGGCGAACCCACCGAAGAGGTGTTTTTTCCTCTCTCTTTTTTTTTTTTAAACAAAGGCCTATAAATAACCTCATTGGCGGATTTTAACGCAAAATGTTCCTCTTTGTCACATACATAAAACCTTCCTCACATTATGTCCCCATTGCACTGGGTGGGGGGTGGGGATCTAGAAAGCAGGGTTAGGACAGAGGAGAGTGCTGGCTGCAGCCTCGTGACCTGCAAATGGAGGAATGCGCGCACTTGGCAGCCGGAGCTAGGAGTGGATAACAAGAAAAACAGGCCTCTGACACACCAACTACAATTCTGTGTTCTCACAAGCACCAGGCTACACACACACACACACACACACACACACACACACACTAAAAAAGGGAGTGCGTAAAAGGCACCGTATAGTGGCCCACCTTAAAACCGAATTAAGGCCCCCTTCTTTTCAACTCCTTTACGCATCTTTTGAGTTAGTATTTTCTGATCTGTTGCACTTAAAAAGAATCGGTCCAAGAGATCCGCCGGACTTTTTTTCTCGAGCTACAGAGCACGCGCTGAAGCCCGAAACCACCCCCAGTGTTATTTTCACCCAGAGACAGAACAACAGGGCTGCTGCAGAGAATTCCTGATGACCTTATATAGCAGTGTGGGGGTTGCAACAACACGCTCGAGCTCTCATGGCAACAGTCCAGAGCTCTCGGATTACTGCCGTTGCAGGGCGAGTCAGCCCAGTAACCGACAGCTTGAACGCGCCACGTTCCCAACGTTTCCTTCCCTTTACGCACGGTGGACAGTTTTTCTTCTTTTTTTAACTTCTTGTTAAACACACACCTATTCGAGTGAAATCGCCCCATGCGTCGGTCGGTGTTAAGACTTCCTGTTGTATCACCGAGAAATGTCCCCGGAGCGAGGCTCTCTCACCGAGTGAACGAGCCTCTCCCAGTTATGGCGCAGCAGCTTTTTACAGCACAGTACTCTCCTTTGTCTGTAAAGAAGCCATTTTGAGACAAGAGAACAGCAGAGAAAGCAAAGCAAGTGTAGCCTACTTATCACCAAAGGGTCTCTTTGGATAAAAGGAAGCAGTGAAATTTACAAGATTTCTCCCCATAAGATTCCTTTCCTCGTTTAAGACTTGGATTACATGTTTTGAATGCAAACTGTAAGTTTACGATATCAAACAAAAATACGAATTATATATACATATTACAAAAGCCAATACAGTTTTGATAGCGTTTTAATCACAATTATGTATTGTTCATGTCTGTCTTGTTGTATAACATTAAACCCACATTTAGACATAAATTGGCAAATAAAGTGAAATAGCTCAAAATCCATTACCTTTCAAAACAACACTTCCTTGGTTTTATATGATGTAGCTCAGTTAGAAATGTCGAAATTGAAGAGGTGTTTGCCTACTTGACTGCAATCCTGTCTTCAAGGAGGGAGAGGAGATGGTTTGCATATTGCCCACACAGATATGATGCTTGAAGATGCATATTCGCTGGCTGAGAGGCAATGCCTGCTGATCAAAAAAAAAAAAAAAAAGTTTTCAAAAGAGCTTTCTATCTTTCGTGCTAATGGATTCCTTCCTTTTCAGGAGATGCTATCCCACCCCTTATTAATGCCATTATTAGAGGATCCGAAGATGGAGCTGAAAACATTCCTTCCGCCCCTGCGTTTAGGCCTGTTAACTGCATTTCACCAAAGTGCTGAGGTAAATATTTTCACCATAAGAGTTTTCCCTGTTTCCTCTTTAAGTTTGACAGTCTATTTTATGTTAACCGTTGTAGAAACTGTAAAAGGCTCTCTCACTGGGCGTCTAAATACATTTAAATATGCCTTTGAAACAAGGTCAAGCCGACGATTACACTTTGGACGCATTTGGTTCTAATATGGCAAATGGACAGCACAAACGCAATCGGTTGTCTCCACGGTTGTAGGAGGAGTAGTCTACAGCACACAAGCCACCACGGGTGTTAAGCATTGCTGTTGTGAGAGGAAAGTATTTTAAGTCATTAATCAAAGCAAATGGGTTATCAATCAACAGACAAATGTCCAGGCAGCACAATAAACTATTTAGCAAAAGGCCATTATGGCCTGCTTTGTCCTTTGAGGAGCAGTGGCATATAACCTGGACTGTAGGCTGTATATCTACATGTCTGCATGCCAGTGAACATTTTGAATAAAGTTGTCTATTACAGATGCCAAAATGTCTGTGATCAAATAGATAGCTTAGTAGATAAAGTGACATTAAAACATTTTAATAACAGTAACTGCATGCCTCACATTTTACATGAATAAATAAGCAAACAAATTGAAAATGATTATAAAAGAGTTGAACTTACTCATATCCTACAAGGCCATATGTGCAATGCCAAACAATCAGACATCACTTTAACTGTTTCCCCCCCTAATTTAACATCTGCAAGATCACACAACTGTTTATTCACAACATTGGTTTCTTATCACTTAAGAAATATAAATACTATTATATGGGTGTGCCATGGCCTAGTTAAGACAAAGATGGATTCCAGGCAGAGGAAAAAAGGCTCAAGATGTCACAGGTCTATTACATCCAGTACATTCTCTTCCTTCTTCTCAATCCTTTAAAAGGAGGAATCATAGATTTTATCATAGTCCGTGAGAGATGAGGAAATCAAGTGTAAGATCCCTTTTGGAACAAAGGAAACCCATATAGGCCATTGAGTCCTGTTTCAGGAAAATGGCTGCCGAGAGCGCTCGGCCCCCTCTCTCTGCTCTGTGTTGAAGGACTCCTGAGCCGTGCCTCTAATAGCAGACAGCTCCTCTGCTGCTGCGCTCTGATTGGCCCGCTGAGCTGCCGCTGTTAACCAGCCAATTGCCCGAGCACTGCAAAACACCAGGCAATGTCAAACAAAAAAAAACATTAATTTTTTTGTCGACAATATGCAGTTTAGAAATATAATTAAAAAAGAGAAATCCATACGGGGTTAAGGTTTTATAATTAAAAAACTCCACAGCTGTTTTAAAAGCGAGGGCCAAACACAACGGTTTGGCTCTAGTTTGTTGGTCTGGATTAGACTAACTGACAGAGAACCAACCGCCGCATTCCAACGGTTACAAGCATTAGTTTGCCTGTTAAATACAACTCGTTACTGACCGAGTTTCGTATTATAATCGCATATTAATCTGGGAGTAATTTCACACTAGCAGTCAACTCGCTCCTAAGCAGCGGTGTCTCTATTTGACTGTTTTCCCTTTTTTTTTTTTAAAACAGCCCGACATGTATGAATTAGTGACCGACCACAGGTCTATAGAAAAAACAAAAACCTGCGACCAAAGCATTTTTTATTAGCCGTTAGGGGCAGTTAAGCAGATATTGCCCCTGTGTCTATCTTGTGTTTGCCATTTGGGTAAATGCAATCGACAGATTCCACACAACATGATTTAGAGATTTAACGACACCGAGCCGTTCCAACATCTGTAATAATAATATTTAGACACACGAACATGATCATCCGAGTCGTTTAAAAGATTACAATTGCATTCAAGGTTGTGTCATAATTAAATTACCAGCGGAAACAGACACGAGTTTATAGCGAAAGTGCGGCTAGCGTCGGTGGTGGGCAAGCCTAGCGGTGTATTGTGGAAGAGACAGAAGCTACAGACCAGAGGCACACAATATGTGTTGGCTCTCGCCGAAAAGGAGGCAGTATTCTTCAAGCTAAATCATGTAAATGTGAGCGGCGAAAGGAAAGCGACTTCGTCTTTTCGTCAATTAAAGAATAACCCCTCGATCGGACGAACCATGTCCAAGCCAGGGGAGAAAAACAGATTGAACGAAGACCATGGCAGAAAGCAGAGTTCAAGTAAGCTTGTTCTTTTTTCCTCTTTCTCCAGCCCTCCTAATGCCTGTTTTCCGTCACTGGGATATACGCTAGGTCCCGTTTTCGCTCTCTCTTTCTCGGGTTACCCCCCCCCCCCGCTGTACCACCTAAGCCATGCATCTGTAACGTTTAAAGTGTCGGGGGGGGGGTGGGGGGGTGTGAGCTGGCAACGGGACCGGGTTTAGCTTCTTTTTTTGTTGTGTGTGTGTGTGTGCCTAACGATAGCTCTTCTCTCCTTGTCGCTGCCTGTCGTTTCAGGTTTGGCGAACGGCATGGACAGTCACCCCGTCTGCGGCTCGGCGGAGAAGCGGAGTCACCACTGGAGAAGTTACAAGTTGATCATCGACCCGGCGCTGAAGAAGGGCTCGCACAAACTCTACCGCTACGATGGACAGACTTTCAGCATGCCCGTAAGTGGACCGCCTTTTTTTTTTTTTTTTTTTTTTTTTTTTTCTTTTTTTTTAACTCGCGGGTGAAACGGGCTACAATAGTAACCGAGTAGTCGACCTCCATGCTGGGGTTACAGTGCGGCTGTGTTGTCGGTGCGGTGGCCGCGGGCACGTTCCGGCGTCTCGGAAGGGGGGGGGGGCATTTTTAATGCACCGACCAGCGTTTGGTTTGTGCCAAAACTTCTCTGCAACAAGTTCTCACCGTGTGGAGTTGTGAAAGTATTGATAACAATATGTGTCCTCCCCTCCCTCCCTCCCTCCTCTCCTACAGAACCCCGGGATACCACCGGTGGACATCGTCCGAGACCCGAGGATCGGTCGTCTCTGGACTAAGTACAAAGAGACGGACCTACCGGTGCCGACATTTAAGGTATCTACTCTGACAGAAGCTCTGAGTCCAGCTTTTTCCTCGGCTGTCAACAAGTTGCAGACACACCCCCCTCACTCATCTTCGGGATGTCGGGTGGAATGATGATATCGGAGGCGGCTGTTAGAACCAAAATAACACGCACTGCTCTTGAGGCTTGACTGGATTTGCATGTTCATCGTAACCACTCTGGTGCTGCTCTCGTGTCAGCTGTCAGAAACGGCCGCGCGTGGTGCATCGTTTACCTGAAAGCACCTCTGACGTTAACCCCTCTGATTCTTCTTCGTCTTCTTCCAGATCGACGAGTGCTACGTCGGCCCCGTGCCCCCGAAGGAGGTCACGTTCGCCCGGCTTAACGACAACGTTCGGGAAGGATTTCTTTCTGAGATGTGCAAAAAATTTGGGGAAATCGAGCAGGTCGAGATCTTGTACAATCCGAAGAACAAAAAGCACCTGGGGATCGCCAAAGTTGTTTTTGAGAACGTGAAAGCCGCCAAAGTGGCCGTGCAGTCGCTTCACAAGACGTCTGTTATGGGAAACTTCATCCACGTGGAGCTGGACCCAAAAGGTAAACAGTGATTCAGTCATTCAGAGGGAGAAGATGTGTAACCTACATTCATGCAGGATCAAGCAGTCTCTCTGCTGCAGCAGCGAGACGCTCACTGGAAGTGGACAATGTTGCCTTGTTTTTAAGTATCAGGAGGACAGCAATCACGTGTGTACATGTACACGTGTGTTGCCTGGTAATGTGGGGTAATTGAATTTCATTGAATGTAAGGCTGCTCCCACAGGCCCAGTGCTCAGGGCGCTGTGTACTCCCACTGTGCTTCATATCAGACCTGTAAACAAACATAAACCGACCCGTCAGATTCACATTGTCTCTGTTGAGTCACATTATGACTGACAAATGACTGAAATCTAACTTCAGAGTCAAAGACTCTGCTGTTGCTTCTGACTAATGCAGAACAACAACTTTAATTCCTCTTTAACATGTAAAGTATTTATTATTTGAAGTGTTATTCTCTTGAATTATTCCCACAAATGTATTTCATTTTCTTTTTGTGAATAGTCTTAATAATGTAATTATTAATAATAATTGTAATTAAAAAGTGTTGCATTCTGCATTATTAAGACATGTTTGGGTCGTTATAGTACGCCATCTACTGTATCATTTACATGTAACTTCCCAGATTATCTAATGTACATTAACAATATTTATTGACCTGAGTTTTACAGTGTACAGCTCATATATAGGCCGGCACAAATTACATGAAATTTAGTTTGTAATGCTCGTATTATAAATATTTGGAACGTGTGTACTATGAAAGGAAACTGCGTTCGTGTATCTACAAATGTTTAGATTTGAGTTCAGCTATCGGATTAGTTTTATTAATACAGCCTGCTGGCTTCAAGCCTTCTTTATAGACTTGGCATCAGACCAACGCGTGTTTACCGTTCTGCAGGTGAGAATCGCCTCAGGTACTTCCAGCTCCTGATGAACGGCAGCTACACTCCGCAGACGCTGCCCGTTGGTGGAGAGGAGGCCAGGGAACTTTCCCCTCGGAGCCTGGCGGAAGCCCTGCTGGTAAAAATGCATCTAACAATATGCAAAATATCTTTTTGTTCCATGTGTTTATTAGAAATCCATTAGAGTTAAACAATACTATAGTTTGGTACAGGTTTTTTTTACAATGTCAGCCTGGTGAATTGTAGTGTTGCTCTGTAGAAATAACTGACCAGTCTAAGCTGACATCCTTATCTGTAATCCACTTTATCAGCGCAGCAGGTGGTAGAGTGGAGCAGAGGAAGTGTTATCCAGACCCGAGCCTGTGGACTGAAATGACAAAGCCACTGAAATGTGAACTTTGGCATCGTAGCACAAGATACTTATCCACTAGTTGCTTTAATAAAAAACAAAAGAAAGGATCTATGAAGGTGCATATTGGGAAATGTAATTATTGCCTGTGACACCTTGAGTAATGTCGATCCGGTTTCTCTCCTCTCAGGCCTGCGAGCCCATCCGCAGGTTGTCGGAGGGCAGGTTGTCGGAGGGCAGGTTGTCGGAGGGCAGGTTGTCGGAGGGCAGGTTGTCGGAGAGCAGCGTGTCTGCGGCCGGAGGGACGTTGCCGCCTAGCAGCAGCTCCACCACGCCGTTGTCCCACGAGACGGGCTACTCCAGCCTAAGGCAGGACACACCCCAGTCCCAGGGAACCCCTCATACCCCACGGCAGACGGGTACGCCCTTCTCCCAGGACTCCAATTTCTCCAGTCGGCAGTCCACGCCGTCGTACCAGTCCAGCCGGGCCGAGAGCTCTGGAAGTTACAAATCTCGCAGACACGAGAGTAAGTTCCAGGATGCGTACAACCGCAGACCGGAGAAGCCTCAGTACCGCAGCAACATGTACAGAGGTACGCCGTCGTCGTCTGAGCAAGTGCCCTTCAAACAGCACCAGCTTACCCCGCCTGAACCTCCGCCCTCCACCCCCTCCTTCACCTACACAGTGCCTCCCCCTGCTACGCCCAACTTCAAGTCGGCCTTCTCGCCCTACCAGGCTCCTCTGCCCCCCGCGTTCCCCCCGTCGGAGCCTGCTTTCCATCACCCGGCCCAAAGGGAGGGTGAGTACCTCCGACCGCCGCAGCCGCCTCTGGCTGCCGCCACTGACTTTACGCCCGTCAAGGAGAGACCAGAAACTCCTCCGATCCCCGAGCCCCCGCCGGAGCCCATGCCCCACCCGACCACCCCTCCTCCTCAAACACCAGAGCACTGCCCCTCGCCCGGCTCCCCCACACTCGACCTAGAGCGCAATAGCCTGGACTCCCGCATTGAGATGCTCCTCAAGGAGAAAAGGACAAAGTTGCTGCCGTTCCTGGAGGAGCGAGACTCGGACACCGAGGTGCGTATGGAGGGGAGTCCAATTTCCTCCTCGTCCTCTCAGCTGTCCCCGATCCCCCCTTACACGGGCGGCTCCCATGGTGGCCTGCAAAACTCCCGTCCCACTAGCACAGGCTTGGAGGACATCAGCCCGACGCCGCTGCCAGACTCGGAAGATGAAGAGCCAATTCCCGGGACCGCCTCCCTGATCAAGAGAATCACTTCTCCTGTCCAGGAGAAGATGAGCAACAGTGACCTCAAAGATGGACATTTCCGAGGCCACACTCCCACTGATAAAGTTGAAACGGTAAGACGCATATTTTCCTTGTATTTGTATGTTTACATGGAAAATAATACTTTTCATATTTCCATGTGTGAAGTTGCATTTGACACAAAAGAACAACCCATGTTAGTTGATAGCACCACAGCGCTGATGTTTACTCACAGCTGTGACAGTTTCACCGAGGTCACCGGAAGTGAGGTCTACTTTCAGTGCCAGGTGATCGTAGTAAACTTTCCCTTTTTGTTTTCTTCATTATGCCTCATGAAGGAAGTTCCGATCTCACAGCAATCCATGTATGAAGGCAGCGCAAAACAAGGTGTTTGCTATTTCAGTTGGCCTCTGCTGTGTTTATGCAGAGTAAAAATATGATTTTAAAACGACTAACAAGCAGTTTATGTTTGCACAATAGAATATACATGTGAAAGATGTAAAACTCCTTGTTAACGCTGGCAAAACAGTTGAGTTACGAATGAAAAGTTTCAGCTCACAGCCTTACAAATACCTTCGCATTCATATGAAGCTCATCTCCTTGTTTGAAGTCATAGTAACGCCATCTGTTCTGTGATGTTGTATTTCTACACTTGCTGTTGTGCTTGGAGGAATAAGAGCTGCTCTGCTGTGTGTGTGGGGGGGGGGGGGGAATCGAGCAACTCTTATTTCCGCTTTGTAACACTCGCCACACGCTCGCATGGAGGAAAACACAGTTTGGCAGTTAGCCCCATTCAACAGCACACTTCCTGGTTTTTTTTCTGAGCCTGACAGTCAGGATTGGCGGCAGGGTCTCATGTCTCACATTTCAAGTTATCACAAAGCAAGCCGTGCAAACGGGTCATTTGGATAACGACGCCACTCCCATGCCGAGTTTACTCTCCTTTTAGTTTCATTCCTGCAGCCGTTCATAAATCCTTTCACGATAATAAACGGCAGGGAAGAAGACTCAAAATGCCGATGTGTTTACAAGTGGTGCACTGACGTGATCCAGTATGGTTTTAGGAAGTCTGTTGCCTAGAGCAAAGAGCTCTGTGTGGAAACACGCTGACCAATGACCTGGATCAGTTGTGTTTCACTGTGTTCTCTGCAGACTAAACTTTGAACTCTGATCAGAACTTAGATCATTTTCTTTTTGCCCAGGGTATTCACAGGGTATTTAAACCTCAGTGCTTTTTAGGTACGGACCAAATTAGAGTACTGTAGGATGGTATTGAGGGCAGGTATTGTTTACTTATTCTTTAATCGGATATTTCCTGATTTCCCAGGCAAAGTTCTTGAACGGCTACTTGTGTTTGAGAAATATAAACATATGTTTAAAGTAAGGCATCCAAAAACTATACCCACACTTAATGTTAAAGCTAAAAGGGGCTGGTTTACTACAACAATCTTGACTCAAAGTCCACTTACTCGCTTTTTCCTGAGCTTTTCAGCCTTATCTCAAGGTCTTCATAAGTCAAATGGTTTGCTCAGTTTGTCGTGGAGATGAGAAGGGCAGAAGATGATTGTGCTTGTGTAACCTGTGACGTTGACCTCGCATTGTCCTGACGGGTTGTTTTGTTTTTCACTCAGGGCCATCAGTCGTCGGGCGAAGACATGGAGATCTCCGACGACGAGATGCCCGGGACTCCAACCAGCGGTGGAGAATGTGGCAAAGGCATCGTGATGAACTCTGCAGTGTCCCCGATGCAGAGCATCTCCATCCCGCCTCCCGGCTTCCCTCCTCTCCCGCACCAGGTCGGCTACCAGATCTCCCATCACCACCTGGCCGCTCATGCCGCCGTCCCGGGACATCCACACCTGGCCGGTCATCCCGGAGTGCCTCACCATATGCTGCCGCCCATGGGCTACGCTCATAGCATGATGCCGCTGGTGCAAATGGAGCTGATGAACTGCTTGCGGTGGGAGCAGTGGAGCACCGTTCCCATGTCCTTCCAGATGCAGCAGCAGATGCTGAGTCGCATGGCTCAGACCAGAGGCCCCTATCCGTATCCGCATTTCATGGACAGCGCTGCGGCGTCGGCGCCGTACGGGGGACCCTACGCGCCTCTGACTATGGGTGCTACGCCTGATACCGGCGCGGTAGCACCCGGACAACAATGGCAGCATCCCAGTGTACCAAAGTTCAACCCTACTGTTCCTCCTCCTGGATATGAGACTAAAAAGGAGGATCCCCACAAGGCCACTGTTGACGGTGTACTGCTGGTCATTGTCAAGGAGCTGAAGGCCATCATGAAGAGGGACCTCAACCGCAAAATGGTGGAGGTGGTGGCGTTTAGAGCCTTTGATGACTGGTGGGAAAAGAAGGAGCACTCAGCAAAGGTAAGTCACTCATTTCAAGGTACAAACACAGGGTCAGATACAGACGCAAAGAGAGATATGACCACACATACCAACAAAATGTCTTAACTTTCTGTTAAGTAAACACTAATAATGTTCATATTATATGAATTATTTATATATAATAAAACTATGAATTTGAGTGACATCAAGAACCAGCAATCAAAACATGATGCTTTTAGAGGATTGTTAAAGAAGAAGAATTAAAATCTCTCTTTGTAGTTTTAACTCGTGTATCTTGCTTTCCAATCTACATCCACAAGAATCTTACCTTCCTAGTAAATATCATTTTAAACGTAATTTAAATAATTAAAAGTAAATTAAACAACAAATACTGAAGGAACACATGTTCAGTACGATAACGAGGTTTCATACCGTAACCACGCAGCATGAAAACATCCCGTTATTTTCCACAGGTGTCTTTGACTCCGGTGAAGGGTGCTGAGGGGAAGGAAGAAGAAAGACCCAAACCCAAAGAGACGATGGGTTCAAGTCTGCTGGAGAACTGGAACAAGGGCGAGGGGCTGGGCTACGAGGGGATCGGCATGGGAATCAGTTTACGAGGGGCCATCCGCCTGCCCTCCTTCAAGGTAAGCGCTTTGTCTTTAAGTGAACACGGACACCGGCGCCAGTTGCACCGCCTGTTGGGTGTTTAACGGTCGCATGTTGTGTTCAGGTGAAACGGAAGGACCCGCCTGAGGCTGCAACATCGGGGGACAACAAACGAGCGCGGCCCTCCACTCCAGTGGACGACGAGCTGGAGGATGAAGGTGACGCTCTCTTTGGTCTTTGCGATCATTTCTCTTCTTTCTGGTGTTGTAAAATTTCCAGCCGCTAATTTTATCTCGTGGCTTATTTTTGTCAGACCGGGATCGAGACCCAGCAGAGCTCCCGTTGGACGATTCCAAAATGGACGCCGACGGTGGGTCAGCGAAGCGACGGCACTCGCGGCCTCTTGAACTTGACAGCGAGGGAGAGGAGGAGGTGGACACCTCAGGCAAGGAAGAGGAGTCGTTGTCCGACAGGGAGGAGGAGCCTAGTAAAGCACAGGCTGCAGATAGGCTGTCATCAGGAAAAGTAAGCCGTCTCAAACTTTAGATTGTTCACATAGTGTGACGTTGACTATTTGTGCATTTTGTAAACATTTTCATGATGTGTTATCATCTCTTAGGAGAGTGGCGATGAGGAGGGTGACGATGAAGACTCCTCCAGTGAGAGCGCCTCCTCAGATTCGTCTGATGAAGGTACTTTGAATATAAAACCGTTGTTGTAATTTAGTTCCGCTGTTTCCTGTAATTAATCATTTCTCCTCCACATATCTTTCAGAAGGGCAGAGCTCAGCTTCCTCCAAAGCCAGCTCGGACGCCTCGGCAGAAAGCGCAGACTCCTCTGAGTACGAGTTAAGCTCGGAGGAGGAGGAGGAGGAGGAGGAGGAAGAAGAAGAGGAGGATGCGGCGGCAGCAGTGCAAGATGTGGAGCTTGAAGGCAAAGTGGCGGAGACCTCCTCGTCCTCTTCATCTTCTTCAATTTCCTCTTCTGATGAAGACGAAGGGAAGGCAGAGACCAAGCAACCGTGCCCTCCTTCGGGGATGGTCCCAGGGGATACGGAGTACCAGAGGAGCAGAGAGAAGCTAAGCGGCAAACCCAAATGCAGACCTCCTAGTCCTGAGGCGGAGGTGACGGAGGACCTGAAGCCTCCGTCACCCAAAGGCATCCCAGGTGAGTGTCTGCTGCATTATTCAGCGCAAACATGTGTTTGTACTCGTCATAAGGCAAAAATTGATGTCAGATGTTACTTTAAATCAATAAATATGTTTTTGTCTTGTAGTCAAAGAGCGAGACATCAGCGTGGACGGTAACATTCCTGCAGTGAAGGAGCATGTAGCAAATCTTCGGCCGCCCACTCCCACCGGCGCCCTGCCCGACAGCGACCAGGAGACGAAAGGTAAAGCAGAGCCTGAGGAAGTACCCTGCACCCCCGGTCGATTAGCCCCGTCCCCCGTAAATGCTAACACACCTGTCCCCAAAACTGTCTCCGCATCTTTACTGCACCTCCCTCTCCCTGCTCACCTGGCTGTAGAAGGTCGATCCCTCCTTCATCCTTCATCCGCCCCCCTGCCTGACCTCCCTATGCGGCCCCGGCTCCCCACAGACGAGGACATCCCCCGCACACCGGGCAGGGACCTGATGGAGCGCGCCCGAAGTCTGGGCAAGTCCCAGAGCACAGACACTGTGCCCATCACACCCGGCGGCGATGCCCCGCTGACAGGTAGCGGCCTGTTGCTCAGCTCCCCTCACATCCCCGGTAGCCCCTTTACCTACCCTGCACAATCCCCTGTCCTTAGCGCTGGAGTCCCCCGCACTCCAGGAAGAGACTTAACCTTCACCCCTGTCTTCCCTGACCCCACAGCACTGGCTCTTAATAGGAAAATATCCACCGAGAGCCTAGACGAGAGACCCGTTTTTAAAGAGCCGCCCGTCAGCACTCTGCCCAGCCAGGCCCCGTCAGCCGGTGTCCCTGAAGATCTGCCCGCTGGTCTCCCTGTAGACGTCCCTGTGCCGTCAGATACTGCCCCATCAAAGAGGAAACCTGGACGACCCAAAGGCAAAAAGACTCCAGCTGTCTCTGCAGCTGATGAGTCTTTGGAGCTCTCGTCTGAGTCCACCCTCCTGCCTCCCGACGCACGCCTCAGCGATCTGTCCACGCAGACGATCTCCGCCAAGTCCCTGCACCACCCGAGCCTGGACTTCAGGGAAGGAGACGTGAAGCCCCAGGCGGTCCTACCCGTTGACGACGGCTTCCCGTCCTACAAAGAAAAGGCACCTGTGGCCGTGAAGCCGGCGCGGAGGGCACGGCGAGGCTGGGAGGAGCTGCTGCTGGACACCCTGTCCCCCGTCACCTCGCCTCCCCGGCCGTACTTCAATCCACGCTACGAGTTTGAGGAGATGACCATCCTGTATGACATCTGGAACGAAGGCATAGATGACGAAGACATGCGGCTTCTGCAGATCACGTATGAGAAGATGCTCCAGCAGGATAACGGCAACGACTGGCTCAACGACACGCTCTGGGTCAACCATCCTCATATCCTTTACTGCTAAACATTGGCTGATTTAAACCAAATGTCATCATTAATATTATTCTCTGTTATATGTCAAAGTTCAAAGTGCTCCACAAATCAATTTAAGACACCAGTCTAGTCTACTTAAAAAAAGATAATAATTGCCTTATTTTGTAGCTGTTTTGTAGTGTTTACATCACACAGCAGCCCCCTCTGGTGGTGAAAACTAGGAACGTTTTGGCTGCTGTTAGAATCGCAGATCCTGTTTTGGCATCTCAGCTGTGGATCAAGGCCTTCTTTTTCCATTTCTTCCTTGACTTCCCTGCACCAACCAACATCCCAAGAGTGAAGAAAAAGAGAAGAGACGACGGCATGAGAGATCACATGACTGGCTGCGCGCGAAGCGAGGGATACTACAAGATCGACAAGAAGGACAAGATCAAGTACCTTCAGAGCACAGACCTGCAGTTAGAGGAGCAGTTAGTCGACATGCAGGTGAGACTGGATTGTGACGTGCGACTTAATGTCGTAAAAACCTCAGAGGCATGATGCATGGTGTGGGTGAACACATTTAACGCCGTCTTCTCTCTGCAGGGCATGAGTATTCCTGCACAGGTCCAGAGCTCCAGAGCTGGCTCGGAGCGGCGGTCGGAGCAGCGGCGTTTGTTGTCCTCGTTCGCGTGTGACAGCGACCTGCTGAAGTTCAACCAGCTGAAGGTAAACGCAGACAAACTGAACTTTTGCTCCGTGTTTGATTCCCCCTGAATTTTATGAAAAACGTCAGCGAGCAGCAACACAAGACAAGACGGGCGGCATTGCAATTTATGTCATCGTTAAAAGTCAGCTGACACTTGTCTCCCCTTTTTTTTTTCCTCTTTCAGTTCCGTAAGAAAAGAATCAGATTCTGCAAGTCACACATCCACGACTGGGGTCTGTTTGCTATGGAGCCCATCGCCGCAGATGAGATGGTGATAGAGTACGTGGGACAAAACATCAGACAGGTGAGAGGGAGTTCATTCGTCTCTGTGGGCGATGATTACATTTTGACTAATTCACTTGCTTTCATCTACTCAGAATTTCTCTTTCAGGATAATCACGGCTATCTGTCACGAAGAATGATTTGATCTGAATGTATTTATAGATTTATGATGGATTATACAGTAGATACAGTATATGTCAACTTGTGAGTTTGCATAGAAAATGTCTGTTGCACAATGTAGTTTATTAGAATTCTGTCACATATTCAGGGACATAACCAAACATTGATGCTTTGAGTGCCATCCCAGCATCAAAGACATGGTTACAACCAAGCATGAGCAACTGATGGGGTTGAAGTAGACACCCGGTGGATTTCTATGTCTGATAAATTAATTTAATCTCAAAACAGTCAGAACTCTAATAAGTGGCCATCCTCCATTGGCAGGTGATTGCGGACATGCGGGAGAAGCGCTACGAGGACGAGGGCATCGGTAGCAGCTACATGTTCCGCGTCGACCACGACACGATCATAGATGCCACAAAGTGTGGCAACTTCGCCCGTTTCATCAACCACAGCTGCAATGTAAGGCAACACCAGCACGATGCTCCTCTTTAATTAAAAGCTTCCGCACCACCTACATGAAACAAACGAGCATAAAAGGATTTTTTTTATAATAATAATAAAAAATCTGTATTGTGTTTTCTTTCAGCCCAACTGCTATGCGAAGGTCATCACAGTGGAGTCTCAAAAGAAGATCGTGATCTACTCCAGACAGCCCATTAATGTCAACGAGGAGATCACGTACGACTACAAGTTCCCCATCGAGGACGAGAAGATCCCCTGTTTGTGTGGGGCGGAGAACTGTAGGGGAACGCTGAACTAACGTTCCACGTGAGCTCAATCTTCTCCAGGCTGTTAAAAGTGCTGTCCTTAAATTTCAGTCAAGATTTCTCGACCAGCACATGCTGAGACTCTGGACGAGGAGGAACTGAAGTGGGAAGGTCTGGTTTTTTTTTTTTTTTTTTTTTGATGGAGGAGAATAAAGCTGCAAGTCGTCTGTACGGCCCTCTTCACACATTCAACTCTAGATTGTTTACGATTTATGGTGCTCTTGAAAATAGAAAACACGTCGTTTTTTTTAATGTCTGCCAGTAACCGGGAACTTACTCAAACACTTGACTTGCTGGTGCAGCATTTCATCCTCTCAACTCGGACAGTATTTCAGCACAGCTCCTTCCACGTCCTCTCCTGGTTTGTACAGTTTTACACTTCTTTTTATCTCGTTTGTCTCATAAGCTTTACGTACACCACACGTGGTACAAAAAAAAGAAAGAAAGAAAGAAACAACAACACATGTTCAGCTGCTTTACTAACACTGCTGAGACACGCACAAGCCCGCCAGGAAAAGGCCTCTCTCTGGGAGAAGACGTGGTCGGGCATCCGAGCAGATGGGATGACGGCGGAGTGTCGCGCCCCGACGATCCCGCTTTCTCGCTCCTACCTCCTCTGCACCAGTTTCCTTGGACGTGAATCAAACTGATGGGAGAAATTCAAGCAACACAAATGGTTAAATCCTGCCACAAAGTCTGGAATATTTTGGAAATCGCGCCTGCTTTCACCAGCCAATAACGGATCACGCTGCTTCCTATTAGTTTATGCAAAAAAAAAAAAAGTTAAAGGTGATGTGCAAACTTTGTATTACTGATAGTCCAGTGTTTTCCAGTTTTGTTGAGGTAGTTCTCCTCTTTCTTGTTTCTTCAAAGACACTATCTACTGTGTGTGTGTGTGTGTGTGTGTGAGTGTGAGAGTGTGTGTGAGTGAGAGAATTTGAGTGCACTGCCCCCTGTAGGCCACAGCGTAGTATGCCGCCATGCACAGCAAGAAAATGAAAAATTGAATCAATTCCTCTCTACATCCACTGGGCAGCAGTTTTTAGCATATGAAGAAATACCATTTCCTTATTTTAAGTGCCATATGAATGTGTAACTGTCTTTGTGTAACTTGAGCCGGCCGGTGACGGACAATGAAGTCGTTTCTGGCGCCTCGTGCTGCGTTAACATGCATGTGCAAAGAGTTGCTGCCTAGTTTTGTCTCCGCCGCGGGTGTTTAGGCGATGATGTTTCGGGTTCCTTCATCTGTACCTGGGATGATGTGTGTGTCCTCTTCAACTATAACACTTATTACTGTACCAGTGTTCAATGTTTCCTGCGAAACAGAAGTGTTATTACAACCCAGCAACCCTCCTGCAAGGGTTGCTCTTTCTTTATAATCTAAGAAAAAAATAATAATTGTAAATGCACTTGAGGCTTGCACTTCTGCTTTACGCCCCCCTCTCAGCCAATCATA